CACACAACCCTCCCCCCTGCCTCCTCCCAACCCGTGACACGCAAGGGGCTGGTCTCCTTTATCGCTATCGCCACCCCCCCTTTCAACTGCCAAGCACAACTAACGTACAACTTATACCCATGCAACAACAACTCACTACCAATCTTATGATTGTGTTCCTGCAAGAAACACACTTCCACCTGGAACCTACGTAAGAACCATACTAACCACACAGTTTTGACCTCAGTCTTGAGACCATTCACATTTAGAGTGACACACCTGAAAGTTATAAGAACGGTGGCTTCCCTCTATGCCTCTGTGGCTTGCCTACCATACCTTTTCCTGTGCGTCGACCCGACGCCTCACCAGACTTTTCCCTGGCTCCCTCCCCACCTTTTACCCTTTCACTACATAAATCAGGATCCACTAGATCCTTTCGGTCCAGCAACTCCTCATCCTTTGCCCAAGCTTTTTTGCCCGGCCTCTGCCCCGGCGTGAGTACCTCCTCGGCCTCAACCGTGCCAGCCGGCCTTTTTCTAGATCCACTACCCACACACGTCTTCGCCTGACAAATTCTCCTGATGGACCTCCACCTCCACCACTTTCTCTAAGCGAGTTCCACACAATGTTTGTACCACAGACTGCTGTTCCTCCCTCACATCAGCCTCGGCAGCACTTAAGGCGGAGGTCCCCGATCCGTCCAAAAAACCTCTCAACACGTCCTCCAGTAAATCTTCATGAGGAACATCGCTCCTTCCTGATGGAGCCCCCGACGGTCCTGTCTGCTCTCCCTAGCCTACCGGGAGTGTAACACAGGTACCGACCGTCGGTACTTCCCGATCAACCTCTTCACTCCAACGACCACTCGTCCCTGCTTCCTCCTCTCCCAATTCCGGCATCAACTCACAAGGCCGCTGCTCCACTGCCAACGTACCAGGAGCCCTGGTAGGCTGCCTCCTAGGACACTGTGCTGCCATATGGTCGTAGGAGCTACATAATCGACAGGTCCTTCTCTGGCCGGCATAGTGCACAAAGACCTGCGTCCTGTAACCCACTAGCATGACGTAGGACGGTATAGGCCTAGCCAACGTCATTTTGAGGGTATAAGAACCCTCAGGTCGTCCCTCGTATGGCCCATCTTTCCATACTTCCATCGTAGCTGAATGAACTTTATCATAACTGTTGAAGCCTCCTGTATACTATACGCAGTCGCCTCGAAAGGGACGTTTATCATCTTCACCTACGTATAGTACCTAGATACGTTGTGCAAGACGACGTCCACTGTCGAGTTCACAGTCATCTTCCTCTCCTGGTACTCGTCAACAAGTCTGTCGTAGACGCCGGTACGATTCAGTTTCAGGAATACTCTGGTCATCCCTTTAAGGCTACACCATATACTTCATCGTTGGGGACACCATAGACGTCTCTGATGATGGTGGGTAGCAATGTATTCATCGTTTCGCCACTGAGCGTGCCACGTACCAGCTGTATACAAACAGTGTTGATCCGCTGACCCACTCGATACGCCATTTTGCCTTCCAGTTGCTAAAGGTCACCACCAGAGGGCAGGTGTAGCTACTAGGCGTGCGACCTCTCTCCCCGGAGGTCGAGAGACGAATGAGGTGGTTCAAGAGCATACGGATACACAAGAATTACTAGGATTACGCATGAAAGGAGAGCGAAGGTAGATCTTGACTTCATATTCTAGATGACTGCAAACAGCACCAGAAATCACGAGTGATGAGTGAACACTCAAAAAACTTGGCACAGACTCAGCATTGATATATTCGTGTATCTAAATATACGACAAAATTTAGGATAAGACGTAATACCTTAAAATGCAATTTTACCTCAGCAAAAGATATACAGTCTCACAATGACAAGGAAGCTGAGTGTAAAGTTCCTTGAGGATGTGACTGATGCAACACGAGAGCGCCTTTGAATGTGTTGTTATTTCATTGTGGTTAAATTGCATATGCAAATACATTTGCACTATTTTTTTATTCCACGAGAAAAGTGGAAACGGGTAGACATTTTTAACTGCATAATTCTAAATGTAACAAAGGACGCTGGAGACAATTCAGAATTGTACTTACCTAATTGTACTCACCTAATTGTGGTTGCAGGGGTCGAGACTCAGCTCCTGGCCCCGCCTCTTCACTGATCGCTACTAGGTCCTCTCTCTCTCTGCTTCCTGAGCTGTACCATACCTCTTTTTAAAACTATGTATGGTTCCTGCCTCCACTACTTCACTTGCTAGGCTATTCCACTTCCTGACGACTCTATGACTGAAGAAATACTTCCTAACGTCCCTGTGACTCGTCTGAGTCTTCAGCTTCCAGTTGTGACCCCTTGTTCCTGTGTCCCCTCTCTGGAACATCCTATCTCTGTCCACCTTGTCTATTCCCCGCAGTATCTTGTATGTCGTTATCATGTCTCCCCTGACCCTTCTGTCCTCCAGTGTCGTCAGTCCGATTTCCCTTAACCTTTCCTCGTACGACATTCTCTTGAGCTCTGGGACTAGCCTTGTTGCAAACCTTTGTACTTTCTCTAACTTCTTGACGTGCTTGACCAGGTGTGGGTTCCAGACTGGTGCTGCATACTCCAGTATGGGCCTAACATACACAGTGTACAGTGTCTTGAACGATTCCTTATTAAGGTATCGGAACGCTATTCTCAGGTTTGCCAGGCGCCCGTATGCTGCAGCAGTTATTTGGTTGATGTGTGACTCCGGTGACGTGCTCGGTGTTATGGTCACCCCAAGGTCTTTCTCCCTGAGTGAGGTCTGTAGTCTTTGTCCACCTAGCCTATACTCTGTCTGCGGTCTTCTTTGCCCCTCCCCAATCTTCATGACTTTGCGAAGGGTATTGAATACACACACACACACACACACACACACACACACACACACACACACACACACAACTAACACACACACACACCATACAACCACACACCACACACACACACACACACACACACACACACACACACAGACACACACACACACACACACACACACACACACACACACACACACACACACACTGAATTGCGTAATTCTCTTTCAGAGGGTAGAATCTAGTGTAGATAATATGCACAAGGAAGCGCTAAACCCTTAGAGATTATACGAAGCCTTGGGAATGGGAGATAGAAGCAGACAGGATCTCAAGAATGCAAAAACAGTTGCTATTCTTCATATAAAGATCCTTCACCGGAATCAACACCTTCAAGGGTGTAGGCAAGCTATTTTATCGTCAGTACTGTAACTACAAACAAAAGCTATGGTTTTCAGTAAGTACTTTTTTTCTTATTGTGATGACCATTTTTATGGATCATTGTACATTGCGAGCCGTCACTGCTGACTAAATAAAGTGACGCAGTTACCCACATTGCTTATATCCCGTTGGACACGTGTGTGTGTGTGTGTGTGTGTGTGGTGTGTGTATGTGTGTGTGTGTGTGTGTGTGTGTACTCACCTATTTGTCGTTGCAGGGGTCGAGTCTTAGCTCCTGGCCCCGTGTGTGTGTGTGTGTGTGTGTGTGTGTGTGTGTTCAATACCCTTCGCAGAAACAAGCGAAAGTATATGCAAAGAACTGTCAGAGCCACCAGGGTTCAAACCCACATTGGCAGCTCTCTGGTAGTGTAGCTAGTTCCCAACCTGACGCCTTAAACCACTGAGCTACAGATACCCAAAACTGACTGCAAGCCACGTGTCTTCTAACGTCATAAATGTTGAAGGATAAGAGTCAAGCGGTGCAGTGGGTTTTCCTGCCTATTCTATGCTGATTCTTCTTGCTATGTACTGTATGCTTGAAAGATGTAGATTATTAACATTATTACTATATTCATGGCGCTGTAAAACTCCGCAGGGGCATAGCTGCCTCTAATACCAGAAGTCGTAAGCACCGGTCCTTAAAGTAAACTGGATACGGTCAGCCAAACATGCTTAAATTCCTAAAATATGTGTCAATTGAAACTTGTTAGGTAAGACACATATGCAACAGTTAGGTATCTTTATTTCGAAACGTTTCGCCTACACAGTAGGCTTCTTCAGTCGAGTACAGAAAGGTTGATAGAAGCAGAAGATACTTGAAGACGATGTAATCAGTCCATCACCCTTAAAGTTTTGAGGTGGTCAGTCCCTCAGTCTGGAGAAGAGCATTGTTCCGTTGTCTGAAACATTATGAAGTTGAAGTGACAGAATGGGGCCTTTATATAGTGCCAGGAGGTGAGACGTAGGTTGCTTTGGGAGGGCAGGTCTTACCTAACAATCTGTCGGTATTTCATACCATTTTAATGTTCAATTGAAACTTATCGTTTATACAAATGCAGACAGTTATGTGATGTTTCCAGAAAAAAAAAATGCGAGTATGCTGAATCCTGGATGAATACTGTAATTTCTAAGAAATGTGCTCGCATGTTGTAGCAATGATTTAATTCATCAGAGAAGAAATGGCTTTTCAGTTCTCCACATCCCCGTCTTGCTGCTGTAACTACAGAACCCACAGTGGAATGTTGACGATATCCTCCTCGACCTGCTGAAGTCTCCCAGCTCAGGCTGACACATTTCATTACCTCGTCCGTGAAACTCATTTTGGGCAACGAAGTATGACAGGAAAACGATCGTACGTGATGCGTGTGTTAAATAAAACACATCTCTTGCTAAAATTTTGTAAAATGTGATATAAATCAGAGCAGCTGCACAATGCAGATATATCCGAGTTTCATTAATAAGATTTCTGGTCATTTTTTTTCCTTTAAAAGCAGTTGAGCAAAAATGATCTACGTGGAAAAATATATTTAATCAAAATAATTTACTATCGTGTCGAGCTGTGAATTGCAATCGGTATTAAAGTATTAAACAGCATTATTGTTCTTTATTATGGCGTATTATACAGCTAATGCATTTATTTTTACGATGTTATCTCTTTGTAATAGTTCATTTTAATTGTCTAGTGATTTTCATTTCACGTATGGGTGTATCTACTTTCATTTAATACACTGTCGCACAGATAAAGTATCAGCATAAATAAAAAGCAATTAGCGCCATCTATTGGTGTGCAAGGGATTGTAACAAGTGTACGAGAGGTGTGAGGTGTGGGTAACCCCTGGCGCTACACACCACTCTCAGTACTGTGTAATTCATTTCGTGGGTGAACCGGGAGTAACTGCTCAGTAACTAACCCACATCCTCATTGTTAGTGTTATAATTTACTGCTTCTTCTGGTGGTGTTATCTGGTGTAAGTCCGGCTAATGTTGTATTATATTTTGTTCTACATAAAGTTAGTTTAAAGTAAATATTTTTTTCACTACTTTTATAATGATAGGGAAACTTAGAATATCATACAGCGTTTGGGGAACATTTATTAATCAGGTTTGTTAGGGTAGCGGCATCAAGGGAGGTGCATAATGACCGGTCCAAATTAGTTCTACAAACGCCATCACATAGATGAAAGTGAAAAGTATAATGACAAAAGTATGGCTGAAAAGGTTCATACACTTAAGCCATCCTTTATTGAATAAATTCTTGGTTCTTCGTCTTGGACAGTCCGAAAGTGAACACAAAATGTATAGTGGGGAGGCGGGTTACTAGTGAAATTCAGCTTGAGGCATCAGGTCATGTAATGGCTTTATCACGTGTCAGCAAGGTATCAGCGTGGAGTAGTATCAAGGGTGTTAAGATTTACTTGCCAGCTTTGTTCAATGGTGTTGATGGCAATGAAAGCTTCGATACGGCGGCGCTTATATATGCTGGATTATCTGTAAATCTTATTGTTCCAGTTCATGAAGTGTCCCTCTTTAACGGTAACGGCCACTTTTGGTGTCTGTTGCACGAATTTGTCCTAGCTGTTGAACTTCCTCCTTGATTCTCCTATACAGATCATGGTTGTACCCTAAGCATGATCTGTACATTACGCAGATGTTACTTCTTCGACAGCATGTCTTCTGATGTTAGCTACTTCTGCAGGTACTTGAAGAAAAGGTTACTCAACGGCATTGCTGGTAGTATTTTCATAACTGCGTTTATACTCTCGTCTAAAGCGAAGGAAAATCTAAGCTTGTGAAGGCATGAGAATCTTACTGAGATTGTATGGATTTGAGATCCTTTAAATGTAAAGATCAAATTAACGTTAAATGTTAAATATCGTGGTGAGAGAAGCAAGGTCCTCTATTTTCGTAACCTTTTGAGGTCATTTTTTTCCCCTCAAGGAAGGTTCCTTGATGTTGGTGAGGGGCTCTTGATTTAAGGAATTGGATCTGTGCTCCAGTTCCCCGAATTAAGCCTGAATGCCTTCCACATCCACCCCCCAGGCGCTGTATAATCCTCCGGGTTTAGCGCTTCCCCCTTTATTATAATAATAATTGAGGTCTTTTATCTAAGAAATGGTAGGAGTCGGGGGAGGGGAAACTAAAGAAATCTTCCTCCTTGATGCCGTTGAGGGGCTCTTGGAGAATTGGAAAATTTGATCCCTTTCCTTGGATGAAACTTCTCGGATGCCTACTTCCCACAGGCATAACACTACACCCATGAATATAAAATTGTCCGGCTCTTCCTGTATTTTTAGTAAATGTTAAATTCTTTATTTGTTAAAGGTTAATTTTAACTTCTTACTAGTTATTTTTCCTTGCAGGTGTTAGCAGGATGATAGTGACGCTGACAATTTTGACATTTCTCAATCTTGTGACTTCTAGTGATGAAATGTTTAAAGACGCTCGTATGTTTCACGGAATAACATTGCTACCCCCACCTTTTATGCCATTCATGGAAGAACTGAATAATTACGAAGCTGCCAGAGAAATCTTAAGGCTCGTGGATGTTCAACCATTAGAGGAGCTCGTCGCGAAGATGGGTCAAGACCGTAAGAGGAGAGAGACTTCCAGTAGGTCTGTGACAGCAGACATGGAGAAGGCTATGGAGCAGCTAGACTCCGTTAAACTACACATTCATAGACTTAAACGGTCTTCAGACTAACTTGTCAGCTATAGTGCATGTAAGGTTATTAGTCAGCCATGTTGTGGATTGATCTTCAATTTAAGAAAAATTGAATGTCTTTCGAAAATAAAGTTCATCGCACTTTAAACCTTTCCTTGAAGTACTCCTTTCTCTAAAGGGATGAAGTTGATATTCAACAGCTGATTTAAGGAACTTTTCACCTTTGGACCAAGTAACTTCGAAGCGCGTACTCCTTCCCACAGTTGCAATCTGACCCTTCCTCTACGGGTTAAAATCTTCCCTCTGTTTAATAATTGGCGGTCCTAATTTTTTGTAATATGCAGCACTACTCGCTTGCCTTAATTAAATGGTGACTGTATCGTATTTAAGGGAAAAAAAATCTTTACTCTCCACTGGCAAGGAAAACTTTCGGACTAAGGTCCGACCTGACCTAAATTGTAAATTTGCTTTTTTATTTAGGTATACAGTTATAGATTATCATGCATAGCAGCAGGTGTACAGAATCTACGATAACCCCCCCCCCCAAAAAAAAAAATACTTATTTTCATTGGGGTCCTTTGATTACCTTGTCAATATTACATTGTATGATCAAATGTGGCAGATAAATTAAAACATTATATGCGAGAGGGGGGAGGTAAAGAGGGTTGACTGCAGTTTTCATTACTTCCCCACCTACTTCCAATCTTTCCCTGTGGTCACAGCTTCGTCACCTCTGTATGTCTTTTGCAGCCCTGGACTCTGACGTATCTACCTGGTCGCCTCGTACTGTTCAAGAGTCCTCTTCTTGCTCGCTCGCAATGTTTCTAGGTCAAAACCCCTAAAGGAAGGTTCCTTTATGTTGGTGAGGGGCTCTTGATTTAGGAAATTGGATCTGTACTCCAGTTCCCCGAATTAAGCCTGAATGCCTTCCACATCCCCCCCACGCGCTGTATATTCCTCCGGGTTTAGCGCTTCCCCTTGATTATAATCTAGGTCCAAAAAAAAAAAAAAAAAAAAAAAAAAAAGCTTCGCGCCTTTACCTTTCCGGAGTCTAAAACGTCAAAAGTTTAAATCTCCTTTGGCATGAATAAAAATTTAATTTTTTAACAGGGGCAGAGTTGTCCATGATGCCTTATTCGATGGCATAATAATTAGCATAACCTTGCACTTAAAATCCTGTACTGGATTCGTGCATATGTTAAAGAAATACTTGGCTGCCTTTAACTTTTTCTCTAATGAAAGGTTTGGTCGACATGCGCTCCAACCTAACTTGATCTCGTCAGCATTAAACACTTGGAGACAGTTTTCAGAAGTAATTTTGAGTAGACAGAATAACTTTGTAATAATTAAGGTGACACTCGTACAATACAACTATTTAAAAAGCCATTTTTTATATAATAAATGGCTTCAACTTTTAGATAATGTTGAAAGGTCATATTTATACAGAGCAGTTAAGTTTAAACATTACTAAAGACTGGCAATTATTTTAATTATACAAGACACTTAAGGTATAAAAACCATTAAAGACTATACTTTACCCCATAATCATAAAACAAATTTTGAACTTGTCATATTAACTTGGCGGTTTGAGTAATACGGAAAAAACTTTATTGTATTCACTTTCACTTCTTTGATTTATCGTAGGTTCTCTACATGTGCTAGTTATAACCTATAACTGTATTTGTATACCTTAAACTTGATACACATAATAAGATTTCGTTCGGATTTTTAACCCCGGAGGGTTAGCCACCCAGGATAACCCAAGAAATTTCTTCAGTGCGTCATCGAGGACTAACTTATTTCCATTGGGGTCCTTAATCTTGTCCCCCAGGATGCGACCCACACCAGTCGACTAACACCCAGGTACCTATTTGCTGCTAGGTGAACAGGACAACAGGTGTAAGGAAAAGTGTCGAATGTTTCCACCCGCCGGGAATCGAACCCGGGCCCTCCGTGTGTGAAGCGGGAGCTTTAGCCACCAGGCCACCGGGCCACAATGAACTTTGCATTCTTAATACTTGGTACAGTTATTTTCTTTATAGCTCAGAGGTAACGTGGGGTGGTATGGGTATTGAAAGCGAAAAGTGTTTTACTGAAAATGTTAAAATTAATGATTATTTAATTTTAACATGTAGTGACGAATTATTTTGTATTTTCCTCACTCTTCACAGAACAGCCTTAAGTCTTTTTATCGACTAGCGTAACGCAGAACATAACTTTAAAACTTAACTTTGGAAAGCTTCCACATGGAACAGACATGGATCTCACGTCAACACCCAAGCACTTGTAGAAATATTATAAAACCGTTGAGGGTACTCCATAATGTGTGTATGGTGTCGGTGTTTTGGGTGGGTGGTCAGATGGACACTTATTTATACCCGTCCACTGTTTAAGTGTTCAACTGGAGTTGTGAAAGTGTAGTTTCCCCATAATACAAACGTCTTGTATTGTGTAAGTTCATTGTTGCAGTAGAATATACAACAGCAACACTCCCCTTCTCGTGCAATACGTCCTTGACTGAAAGCTTGCCAAAGGAATTTCTCTAGTTACCCCAATAATACTATACACAAATTTCTCTGGTTTTGTACTAGAGAGAATGACTTCGCTATCATTCACTGCCCTATCACAAGTTTTTAGATGCATGATAGAACAGATAAACTAGTTAAGCTGTATGCACTCGACGAGAGTTTAGTCTTGGCTTGTGAGTTAGATTTGAGAATAATACGAAAAGAACTGAACTTTAACTTTCTTGGAGACTGACACCAGTCCGTCCATCTCATTCAATCGTGCAGGAGTTAACTTCTCTGGTCCATCCAACAAAAGCACTTGTATGTCATTACTGCTCGGCTTCGCCTGGGTTACAAACGTTTTTGGGAGGTTAAATCACCGGATGTAGACCAAACTACGTGTAAGCTTTGCCAGATGGACTATTGTCGCACCTTGCAGCATTGTGCTGGAATGAGATTAAATGAATGAATTCAGAGACAAATCCCTAACATTAGATACGTCTAAGTACTTTATCCAGTCGTATATCACGAACTTCTGTAAATACCCTGACTTTGCTCACTGTAAATAAAGCTATTTGCATTAACAACTTTGTAATTACAGAAGTGTGTGAATGGTTCATTCTGAAACTTTTTCCGCTATCAAAACTTTGGAGCCCAATCACTGGATCCATTATGCACCTTGGTTTCTTGGCCTTCTATTGTGATCATTTGATTCCCTCAGCGCTTTACAGGCCATTAAACGATTGGATTCCCCTCATACATTGGTCTTTCATATTCAGCTTGTATCGTGTGGCTAGCAAAAAGTTTTCTGCTGGGTCCCTGGACACTGATGTGCAGGTCAATGCACAGGCGGATGCTGCTGCGCTGTCAGTGCAGCAGAAATCCGCCTGTTTCCGATAGGTATTCCGTTCAATGATTATCTTGGTCATCTCTGCCTATCTTTACGGCCGTTGGCAACAACTGGGGTTGGGCATGCACCATAAGAAATTGCACTCTATTAAACAGTGTTTAGGTTTTGTGGCAATCTTACCACCGTTGCTGTACTCGGGAGACTGCGCTCTCCTGTCTCCGCATCGCCCATACCCTCCTTACCCATGGGGTATCTCACGGAACACCCTATTTACCTCTGAGGCTTCTGATCCCTCTTTCGATTTTCCACTTGCTTGTGGATTGTCCAGTTTACCAGCGAGCTCGCAGGATTTACCTTCACCAATGCCGCCGACCTACCTCTTACCTTTTTTTGCCTTCCCTTCTTGCAGATGGCCATGTCTTTGCCTTATGATCACTTTTTGACTTCTGTTAGCAACTGCTTTGCTATAGAAACTTGACAGCCTCTAGCGTCCCTTCAAGCCCTTTCCACCCCTCTGATCCCCTCAACACCTAACTGTTTATAGCCCCTGCACTATTTTATGCCCGACAGTGCTGCATGACCCTTGTCTGTTTAGGGCTTTATTTGGTTATAATATGCTTACGTTATTTAGTCGACACTAGTGAGACACTTAGGGAGACACTGAAGGACATAAATGGAAGATGGTAGAATAATATACAAAAAGGGTATAGTCCCTCAGTCTTGAAGTAGGTTATGAGCACCAACTCAGACTGAGGGACTGATTGTCTCATCTTTTGTATATAGTTCTGTATAAATAAAATAACCAGGAAAAAGACTGGCAATGTTGCTCATCCCTTTCCTCTTGAAAAAGCAAATGACCTCATAAATGACTGGTCCAAAACATCCAGGCATGAAAACCTTCCATCTCATATTAGAAAAAATTTAGTACTTCTGAAGAAATGTTGAAACTGATTAATTTTGAGCCAAAATATTGATGAGTGATTGCCTCTTTATAGAGTATGAATTAGATAATGCATAAACTAAAGGTCGATAATCTGCTGCTGGAGAGGATGGTATAACCTGATATTCTCAGAACTCTAAGGCACGTGCCTGATAACCCTTTGTTGGCACTATAATCTGTTACACTGAGGGCGTTCTTCCTACTTCCTGGACCAATAATCTCATTGTGCCTATCCCTAAGCCCCAACAGCCTGATACATTTAGGCCGATCTCCTTAACTAGTTGTCTTTGTAAAACTTTTGCCTCTTCAAGGGGGGGGGGCAGCCCTTGTGGTGAAGAGGCTCTTGGTCTGAGGAATTAGACCTGTCTGTCTCCTTCCTCAGACCGAACCTAATTACCCCCCAATCCCCCCTCCCTATCCCATCCTCCCCTTTTTCCTTTCCTCCTCCCCACCCCTCCCTTTTGCCCTTCCTCTTCTTGGCCTTCGGGATTTCTCCCACAGGCGCGCTAGCTCCTAGGTAGGGGAAAGAATACCGGGGTCCATCCCATTCCGTTGAGGTTCTTGGCGGTGGCATAGTTTGCCGTGGAATCTGGATCGCCTGGGGATGTCCCGATCCCTCTCTGGTATCCTGGAGTGTAGCTTTGGGTGTGTTTCGGGTGACGGGTGCATCTCTGGAAGCCACCTTTCAGATTCCGGGGGTGGTGGCCGAAGGAGGTATGCTTTGTGGCAGATATCCGGCCACCCTCTTTTGTCCACCGAGGTAGCTCGGCAGATGTGAGGTTGCTATCCCGGATTGCTGGTTCACTGGCATGAAGGGTAGGGCATGGCATGGGGTTCCATGCTGC